TCCCAGTATCTAATGAAGTAATTAAACCACATATTATACGAATTTTAAAAGGTGAACTTCCTGACGGTCAACTGGGAATACACATTGGGACATATGAAAAGATAACACTTACTTGACGTATCTTAAAATAGATTATTTTGATCTTTGTATCAATGTGTTCGACAACAAATATGACAAGCCTATTGACACAACTTACAAATAGCCTATTTTGATTTTTGTATCAATGTGTTCGACAACAAACATGACAAGCCTATTGACACAACTTAAAATAGCCTATTTTGATTGTTGTATCAATGTGTTCGACAACAAATATGACAAGCCTATTGACACAACTTAAAATAGTCTATTTTGATCTTTGTATCAATGTGTTCGACAACAAACACGACAAGCCTATTGACACAACTTCAAATAGCCTATTTTGATCTTTGTATCAATGTGTTCGACAACAAATATGACAAGCCTATTGACACAACTTAAAATAGCCTATTTTGATCTCGTTACAACTTAAAATGACTTGTGCATATGTATGTGTATATATATATATAATCGTGACAGGTATTTAGTTTTGGAAAAAAGAAACTTTTTCAACTGGGGTGTTTGGGGACATTAATATCCCCCTTCGCCTCACTGTGACGATTACGTTTGTTTATCTGAAGTGTACTTTTATTAATTGTTTTAATATGGGAGTTTCAGATTAAATATCGCGTGGGCTTGGATTTTTGAAGCTTAGAAATGTTTTAAGATTTTAATCATTAATGTTGAAGAACAATTGGCGGCAGGCAAAGATGGCAGAAAGAAGAAGGCCCTGGTTTACATCCCGCATTCCGACAATTATCGACAAAGCATTAGGGCTCTTGAAAATGGCTTATTTTGATCATTGTATCAATGTGTTCGATAACAAGTGTGAAAAGTCAATGGACACAACTTAAAATGGCTTATTTTGATCATTGTATCAATGTGTTCGATAACAAGTGTGAAAAGCCTATTGACACAACTTAAAATAGCTTATTTTGATCTCGTTACAAACGTGTTCGATAAGCATGATCGGTATCTGGAAGTAGAAGGAAAATAGCACATTTTATTGCTCTATGTATTTGACCAGGCTCGGATTATCCAATGTACACTTGCACAAAATCCCTGGTTCAGAGAGAGTTCCTGACCACCGGGGGATGGGGTGTGGAACTTCAACGAAATTCGAGAGGTAGTTATATATGATAATCAGAACCACCCAACATTAACAATGCACATAAAATGCTTTATCAGTCCATCTATTAGTTCAACGTGGCAGGGTACAAGGATAATGTTATACAGTATTAGAGTACGAGCATATAATCTTTGCACTGTTAGTGGTGCTTGTGTGTTTTCTGCTGATAAAGATTTACAATTTCATCATTATGAAGGGAGATGTTCTGATATTTATAGTTGTATATCGCATGTTTAAAGAAAAAGAGGGAAACTCTTCCGTAGTGTACAAGGCTTCAAATGTCTTAGGCCCAGCATAGCCAGGTGGTTAAGGCGCTCGACTCGCAATCTGAGGGTCGCGAGTTCGAATCCCCGTCACACCAAACATG